CCCCCCCCCCCCACAGGAGGAGTCAGCAGAGCCCTGCAGCCCTCCTGCAAGTGCAGGCCCTCAATCTGCCTGCTGGAGCACAGGAGGCTGCTCCTGCCACCTGCAAGAGCTGGGTGCAGCCCACGCCCAGCACCAGGAAGATTGATGCTGCCACCCATCCCAGATGGCAGAAGCAGCTTCCTGTGATCCAGCAGGCAGATTGAGGGCCCGCACTTGCAGGAGGGCTGCAGGGTTCTGCCGGACTCCTCCCAGGGGTATGGGCAGGCGCCTGATCTGCCAGCCAGATCACCAGAGGCTGGTGCTGCTGGCTGGGACTAGCGCTGAGCACAGCCCGTGCCAGGAAGATCAGTGCTGCTGCTAGCCCCAGCTGGCAGCATCAGTCTCCTGTGATCCAGCAGGCAGATTGGGGGCTTGCCCATACCCCTGGGAGGGCTGCGCTGGACTTCTCCCAGGGGTGCGGGCCCCTGATCTGCCTGCCGGATCACAGGAGGTTGGTGCACCGATCTTCCTCACGCTGGGTCTGGAATAACCTATGGGTGAAATGTCAAAACTGTTTCACTGTTTCGGTGCTTTTGAAATGAAACCAAACGAAACACCTTTCTACTGAAACATCAAAATGGAAGCCGAAGCGGAACAGTGCTGTTTCACGTCGCCCTGCTGAGCACTTGCACCTGAGCCTTCACCCCTGATTGGGAGCGCTACACTTGTGGCCTTCTACCACTACAAATTACTGTACAGGAAAATAACCAACATGGAGTGTTTCTGTGGTTGATGCTGTTCTCAAAGAACGGATGGTTTAACTCGGTTCACTGATGTAAAACTCTCTATACTCCAGAGCCTTCCAATGCCACAACACTTACCCGTATATAATATTAACGTACCATCTTCAAAGGAAAGGCGTTGAAGCTAATGCGGTGCTTCTAGACTCCAGGCACCCTTTGGAAAGTGCCAGCCTTTAGTTTTCAGTTTTGTGCATGTAGAAAAAACACCAGAGCAATTCTTCTGTCGCAAAGAATTCATAAAGACCACAGCTGGTCTAGTGGGATTCCTAGCTGAAATCTCTGGGTTTATGCTGCACCCGTGTTTGCACACCTAACAGTGTTAACACTGCACAGCACCCTGCAGCCCCCTTGCAAAAACCAATACACCCCGAGGTACTGTGGCAGCCTAACTGAGAATCACTGTTCGAATGGGTAATGCTTACAACAAAGTAATCATCATAACCTTTTTCATAATATCAGTCACTTTTCTAGCCTCTTAACTTTTCTGCTTTTTTCACCTCAGACAATTTGCCTGTTGTTATATTAGCATGAAGTCTGTAATGCTATTACAATTTGTGCAAAAACTGCTGGAGATGAACTGGACACTGGCTTGTAAAGCTGGTGACTACTTGCACCAATGCTCACAGTGCAGTCTGTTAAACATGTAGTAATAGGCTGTGGTCAACCCCCATGATTGAATACAATTAGCTGTATGCTGCACATATGTGGACGATTTTCACATAATACTGGTGGCTTCCCTTTTCTGGAGCACTTGCTGGTGGCTGGTGAGAGCTGACAGGTTGTGAGCTAGCTTTCCAATTTGTTTCCAGATGTCTACAAATGTTTTTCATTAAAAAAAAAAAAGTATCAAGCTATAAATTCACTTATGGCAAAGGAGAAACTAGCTTAGCAGCTTTATAAGTAGGACCTCTCTTAGAAGACAGTCATTGCAGAAACTTGTGTTGTTTCCTTTAGTGAGAAAAGGGAACTAAACACAGAGAGGAGCAGATTAAAAAGAGACCAAGGGGCAGAGAGAAAAGGGCAAACATTTCAGGGTACAAAATGAGGAGGAACAGAGAGGCAAAATTCGTAAGTTATTCCATAAGAGGATAAAGCACATTCCATCAGGTCATAAGAAACCCACGTTCCTAAATCCTAGACCACATCGGTAGCTGCTACCCCTTCCCCAGCAATATGCAAGCATAAGTGGGGTGGAGGCAGTCCAAGCAACACTCTGAAACTCAGTTTGCCCCATGGGAAGAATGAAAATCACTGTTTTATCCCCAAAATGCTGGCAGGAGAAGAACTGAACATATCCAACCTTTTTTAAACAACTTTTTTCCTGGGGTTGAAGACAATTTCCATTACCTAGCTAGAAAGCTTCTGATGATCATTTCTATGTCCTGAATATCTCATTCTATAATCCACCTGCCATCCCACAGGTGAGCAAGACATAGGCTTCACCCATTTTAAGTAACTCAAAATTTCTCTTTTAAAAAAGTTACTTTTCTGAAAGTTGAATAAGAAATCAGAGTCTGAAGCAGATTTAATGTTCCATGTGCAGGGCTGACTGTGAATGTTAGAAGATCACATCATGGGTTTACAACAGGAACCTCCTTAATACCTCCAAGATCTCTTATAAATATTTGTACCCTTTACACTCTGTTTAACAAGCACATGGGTTGCATAATCTGCTAATATAACTACATGATTGCCTAAAGGGATTAACTGAAAGGTATGCCTCTTCTTGCATCAGCAAATTCAGCAGCAGGCTGGCCTCTATTCAGTCTTTTCTGATATGAGAAAAGACTTAAAGGTCAGTGATGCACACCGAATGATCAGTGTTGTGTAATATTAAGACTAAAGACACTGAAGTACAAATAATTTCCTCATGAAACTGATCTGATTTAAATTCACTTTAGAGAAAAAAGGCAATTACACATCTTGGTGAATAATAGCTAACAGCTCCACCATAATTGCTTAAGTTGAGGGGGGTGGGGGCACGCGGTGACTTACCAAGTAACTACTGGGAAATGGCAGCAGTGGTATTTCAGTTTTATCTCATACAGATCACTATATGAATAATCTGAACAAGTCACTTGAGACATGTTAAGAGGCCCAAAAGTGTTTTCAAAGATACTAGTACTACTGTGAAGCAACTGACTGCCAAATCTATGCCAGGAAGGGCCTAGGAATAGTTAAATGAAAGCAGCAACTCTGGAATAAAAAGTAGAGAAAGTTCTTTTAAAAAGGTTTCAAGCTTCCCCTGTTGTTGTCGTCAAGGAATAATGCAAGATAAAAATGCATTTTATAAAAAGTACAATTTTCACAAATGCTATCCTGAGAAAACTAATCCTCTTGGAGCCAACACTGGGTTTCCTTTTTACTTATGTGGTCTTCCCATCAGCAGGATCACATAGACCAGAGATAGGCAACCTTTTCTGGCTGCTGGCCAGGATGATCACCCAAAGTCAGAGGCAGGTGGGCTGGCGTTTATCCCTGTGGTAGCATGGGGTGCATGCTGCTGCTGGTGCTCCACCCTGCAGCAGCATGGGGAGCATGCTCACTGCCAAAACCTCACATTTGTGAGCCGGGTCCGATCCAGCCTGCAGGCCATACCGCTGCTGACCCCTAACACACGAGAGTGTTTCAGAAACTAACAGCAAAATGGCTGTCCATGCGGTGTGCCTGTAGCAAAGTGGGAACTACGCAGCAGCAGGGAACACTGACGGTGGCATTGTCGAAAGCACCCATGGTTTACGACTGTAGAGAAGTGATGCGGCTCAGTAAATGATCACCGCACAAAAACAGGGTTTTATTGCAGTATTGCTGTTACTCTCTGAAACACCCCTCGTAGATTGTTTTTAGTAAAATGGCAAGATTCAGGTTGCTAATTTACAAAACCTTTCTTGCCCACATAAGTGTACATTTCTGTAAAAATACTTCTTCCAGACTTCCCTTATTATACAGCAGGTGGTAGCACACTACAATTAAGGACGATATTTACAGCCATATATTTTAAACAAGTGCTAAAATTAAACTCAATTGTATATATAAAATGATCAGAATAAAAAAATACATATAAATAGTTGTATGTACACTTTGGTGACCAACTCTGTGGTTTGCTGTATTATAATGAGCTGTAACTTGCCTACTGATGCAAGTCACCTGTCAGACTAGTAAAAAAGAAAAGGAAAAAAAAAATAATCAGAATGTACCATAAGGAGTTAATGGCCAGAATTATGTCTCTTCTGTGAACTGGAAATCAGGGCATCTTGAAGCAGTGGCTTCTTGCCCTGACAGCAACAAAGGAGATGGTACTTTGAAAAACAGGTTTGAATGCTCTTGCCTGCTGTAGAATTTGCCTCTGGCTAGCACCGTTTCTGTGCAAATCAGTCCTTATTGGTTCAGCACAACCATCCAGTGCCACTTTGAGAGCAGGATCTTCATACTTCTAGTGTAAAATGCAGCATTGCTTTTTCTTTCCCCACATGCAGCTAAAACGTACAAAAGACAGCACAAAGTCTAAAACAAAGGCACATGCAGAGGTTCTGATGAATAGACGGGATAGCCAAGGGGTGGGTCGGCCGCCTGCACGGTCAGGTTCCTCAGGAGGACTGGGTGTGCTTGTATGCTGTAGCGTTCCTCATCATCGTTGGTAGCGTACAGCAGCTCCCAGGAAAGGTTTGCCCACTGGCCTCGGACAGCGTCACCGTTTAACTTTCCCACCTGCACTAGCAGCTCCTGAAGGGTGAGCACTCTCCCAGTGTAAACTCCCTTAAAAAAGTAAAACCATACTTAGGAATGCTTGGCACATGTTCTAGTCAGCGTTAACACAGACATTTCTGGCATGAAGTGAAAAACAGAGCTTGCATGCTGAGTACTGAGCCGTAACACTGACTCCTTGGAAATTTTCAATGACAACAGAGGAAATGGAGGAGACTGTATAAAAGTAGCAAGGGTCAGGTTTTCAATTTGGCAATGCTTTGATCCCAAAATGTCACATATACTAAACAGTGGGAACGGATCACTGGAAAATGAAAGGGGTATAGGACTCTAGACTACACTGCTGCATATATCTGCACAGAGGAAGCCTTATTATTAACAAGACTCAAGTCCTAGCTGCTCTGTCCTTGTATAGAGGAATATCACAGCAGAGTCAGCAAATACTGCTGCATCTGCTGAACAGCTGCCTGGCAATTTCAAAGAATAGGCATACAGGAGTCAGTCGAGCACTAACTAATTCTTTGAGTGCAAAGCTCTCGTCTCTTGTAAGGCAGGCAGACTAACAAATAAGCAGAGGAAAAAAGACTTTAATCCTGCTCATCAGCAAAATTTTCCTCTTACCATGTTAGGATCATGCCCCAAGGAAAAGAGATATGGCTTTTCTTTTAAAATTGCTTGTTGCCACTCAATATCAGATACCAAACCAATGTACCAGTCATTTTCATATTCTTCTAGATAGTTAACCAGCTCTTTGAAGCTCTCTACTGGACCCAAGCTTGCTTGGTCAACCATGAGTTTAAATGTATATCTGAAAGACACACAAACACACACACACTGCAGAACATGATTTAAAATACAAAGCCACTTCAAGCCATTTAAAAGGTTGTTACATAATTGTTTCAATTACAGCAAACATATGAACTAGTTATTGATAATGGGAGCTAAAATATTTAATTTCAATATCAGTACAGATTTGTATATACTATTTGGACACTAAATAAGGTTGCTCTTTCACTTAATAAAGCTGATTCAAAATTGTACATTGCAAAGATGCAAGTATACTCTCAAGCACAAATGCTCATTTTTGCAGCTGTGCTTGTTATACTCTGAGTTAGTTCTTACCTGAATGCTTTCAGTGCAAGCTGGAACAGCTCTCGTTTTCCAGTCAGCCAATCCAAGCCAACAGACCAAGGAATACCCCCAGTGTAGGTTCTAAATACATGACTAGGAGCAGGAACTGTACTGTCTAGTCCAAACAAACCAAAACAACATGACAATACACCATGGATATACAAGTCTTTCAAAGCTTTGTCTTTAGCAAGGTCTTCAAGTAAACTGGCAGGCTTTTCTTCCAAATGAAAAAAATCCAGTTGACTCAAAATGAAATGGTACCACTCTTCTGGAAACCTCTGCCTCATCTCATTGAGTTTGGAAGCAGGGATGGGCGCTGTTCTCCATTCTTCAGGTATGCTTAGCAGCTCCGAATAGGAGCAGCTAAATTCAAGTGATGGTAGTCTTAACACTTCCTGCTTTTTTCCTTTATCTAGAGCAGGAAGTCCAAATACAATGGGTCTGTATAGTTTATCTTCAAGTTGTGTCTTTTGTAGAGCACCATCTCTGCTCTGCATTTCTACAGATCCTGGAATAGACAAATGCATTCTTGGTGCAGTTGCTGCTGGTCCCATTTCTTTTCTCTCTCTCATTCTCCCAGTGGGCTCAAGATCAAAAAGATCACTATCATCAGTCCAGTCCTCAATTGTCTCTACACTAAAGCTATCTTCATCCCTTACAGACCTGGGTCTTTCCACTGTATTGTTAAATGCTTGCTTGTTTATTGGAAATAATTCATCTGTGTCCTTGTCTGCTTTGTCCAGTTTCTCACATGTTTTCGATTTATTATAGAAATACTGGACAAGCACCCACACAAGCACTTTAACAAAATCATCTTTCAGCTGCTTTAAGTTTTCATGAGAATCAATTATTCCAGACAAGACATTTTTGGCATCAGAATACAGCCTCACAGGCAGAGCTGTGCAAGGGGTTAAAATGTTTCCAAAATGATGATTGAGAGAGAGAGTCTTTGCATGCTCCTCATGCTCAAAGGCCATTGCAAAAATGTCATCAACTCTGTGAGCTTCTGCAGTATGACAGGAGGTTTCTTGCAACTCTAGCCCCTACAGCACAAGTGGAAACAATTCAGCTTTACTCTGCATATGAACAAGCCTTTAAAAACTAACAGGCCCTTTTTTCTTGCAACAACTATTCCCAGCAAATGAAACTATGCCCAGTATTTCCAATATTTCTGGAACTAACAGAGCAATCACTTACAATTTTAACAGCACTCAGCATCTTATTTGATGGACTGAGTAACAGTACGTCACGCAATACTACCATTTCTGAACTTGCTTGAGAGCCATTTGGTTCCATCTGCCACAATCTTCAGTTTTTATAGATACCCACTTTAAGTTTTAAAGTCTTATACCACAAGCCAATTCAAAATATATAGTACTTCTGTGCTTGTAGAAACTGGATGCATCTACACAAAACACGTAATGCGTAGTAGACTGACTGACTGTGCATGACAGCATCACAGCAAAAACCATGCTATTAAGCTAATGTGCAGTAGTATTAGTCTACTGAGTATTAACCATTCAAAACAAAGCATGCGACCGCACTAATGCACAGTAGAGCAGCCTACTAAGCATTTATATAGTACTTCCTCTTGCATGTACTAAATTTAATGCACAGTAGGCACTGCACATTAATGAATGTGTAGATGTGCCCACTATTTTTGATTTGCAGATTCTGGTACAATTTGTCTATGCCCTTCAGATGGTTTTAAAGATTATGTTATGGTCTTAATATTGAGAAAAACCCTTTTAGTTACAAAATTAAACCAGATCAGGTAATATAACCAGTAAAGTCTTAGTCTTATAGAATGTAAGTACTTTTGCTTGTTCTGTTGGGAGGAAATAACAGAAAAGGATTTGCATGTTTCCAAAGCAAAGTTTTCAGTAAATATTCACCTTAATATTAACACAACAGTATGTGAAGCCTCTTTCTATCACCAATATCCATATCAGTCTGTCCTGAAAACGGCACAAGTAGTGTGATCCAGGTAAAAAGAGACCTAAAAACAGCAGAAAAAGAAGCTTAAATTTTTACTGCAGTGTTCTGTTGATTACTTTTTTCTTCTAAACAAAAGAAAGGAAGCCACTACGGAGACACTTCCAGCATGAAATCAACTGAACTGGTCTGGATAACTTCTATCTTAAAAGAACTAATTGAGCAGCAATCTGAAGTACTTAATTTTAAACAAGTCATGGAAAAAAAATCAGAGAACTTCCAAAAAGACAAGAGGATTAAATTTAGGAACACATTTTTCAAACAAAGCGAAAGATGTTCTAAGGGACTATACACTTGTTAGCCTAATATCTATCTGCTCCATGTAAAATAATACAATAGTTATTTTGAGCTTTACCTACAAAATTTAGAGGGTTGCACAAACCAACATGGAAGTTAATCTTGTTAAACAAATCTGCTGTCTTTTTCTGACATTTTTACAGGCCTGGTTGATAAAAACAACTGTGCTAATGCAGCATACTTGGACTGCTGCAAGGCATACGACTTAGTACCGTGTAATATTTGGATTTAAAAGCTTGCGTTATGCGAAATGAACAAGGCACATATTAGACTAAAAACTGACCTACTGATAGTTCTCAAAATGTGTTGGCTAATAGGGAAATATCAATGACCAGGGCTGCTTCTACTCTAATTAAAAAACAATGTATTATTTTTAACAATAATCTAAACAATGATACAAAAATCTTTAAAAATCTTTGCTGGTAAATTTTGCAGGGGACACAAAAATCGATGAGGTATCAAATAATAAAGGGGGACAGCATTACACATTCAAGTTATTGGAAAAAAATTCATAAAGCAGCAAAGATAAAAACCAGGGCTCTCCGCTTTCAAGGAGAATGCTCTCATTGCTGGGCATCCTCTCCCTCTTGTCCCATGAGTTCCTCATTCTTGGAGGTGGAAAGTGCACCCCCCCCCCAGCCTAGCCTGCAGTCTGGTGGTCAGGGCATTCTCCTGGGAGGTAGTAGTTATGGATCTGAACTCCCTTGCAAGGGCACAGAACCAAGGCTCTCCTCTTCCTGGGCAGTTGCCCTAACAACCAGCTTACACGGAAGACAGTCACAAACACTTGTGTTTTAATACAAAGGGACGAGTCAGTAATCCACCCCAAAAGAGAAAATACAGGCACTTAAATCCAGGAGAGGACTTTGGACTGCGAATCCTGATCTCACATAAACATCTAACCTGGGGCTGCAGACTTTACATCTGGAGGGGAATTCCCTCTCTTTTTGACATGTCCTATTGGCTACACCACCCCCACCCCAGTTCTGTCCCATTCAACTTGCTGAATGCTGTGAACCCCATTCATAGACACCTAAAGCTCACCACTGCATTGCACAGGAATCTTAGACTCCAACCTGGGCCTGCTAATTCCACTCCAGGGAGTAAAAGCAAAGTATGATAACAGTCAATCCCACTACACTACAGTCCCTTTATGGATTGAAGTCGAAATGCTTAAAGGATCCTCTCTCTCGTCATTTTCCTGTCATAATTTCCATATGCCAAATGACTTTAGAATATGCAAAATAAAATTATAAAACCAAAAAAAAGGGACTTCTGGCTCATAGATGCCATATCAGCCCTCCCAACCAAGTAGTTCATAGCATATATGTTAAGGCACAAGTTAAGAGTAATTGAAAAGGACACAGTCCATGCACTACCAGGTCCTAAATTACCAAACTTACACTTGGGAACCAAGAGAATTTTTTAAAGCATATCAACTGTCACTACTTGCTCAGCTAAAAGGCACCAAGCTTCATCGAGACAACTGCATTTTTATCTTTGCAGTTTTCTCAGTTCAATTTGGAAAAGCCTTATTCTTTACGGATTTCAGTTTCTCTGCAGTGCTCATCATACTATTCAAGAACTGATTTATTACCACCTCAGAAATACTCATTAATGATCCTATGGCACTGTTATTCAAGGATCTCCAAACACTTTCAAATCTCAGTTTACCTGTGAGGCATAGCGGCTATTTGCAGAGACATTAAGGTCAGTTTTCAAGAGCATCTAGTTTTGGGTATCCAACTGGCCACGCGCACAGATTAGTTTCAAAGGTACAGAGCAACTACAACCCAAATGGAGTTTCCTGTTCCTCAGCATCACTTGGACAAGCCCTACCTGTCAAAGTGGATACCTTAAAATAATTGAGTATCAAATTTAAATGGGCTTTTGAGAATTAGTGTAAGGGCCCAATTCAAACTGATCTTGTAGGCTCCTCCATTTAAGAGTTATTATTGAGGCCTTGCCCAGGAAGGTGACCCAAACTGGCATGGTTAAGCAGCTCCCTACAGCAAACAGGAAGACTTAGGTAGCTCCCAGGTAGGTACTGAGAAGATGTGCTTACAGGTAGCTAATAGGAAATGCTGGACACTGGGGTCTGTTTGAATTCCTCCTCCTCCTTGGACCACAAGCATCTGACTCAGGGCAGCATGAGCTCTCTGTTTTTATAACCAAAGGCTATCTAATTGGTAACCAGGTGGCCAATCTGGCTTACTTCCGAGAAGGCACAGCAGTCTAAGTCTTTCAGCCAAAATGGAAGTGCCTAAAGAATCTATATGCTTAAGTGATTTGGTGGGCACAGAACAGGGGTGATGAAGATTGCTTTTTGTGCCTTCAGTGCTTATAAGGTCGATTAAGATTTGGCCCCTAAATGATCTGCCCACAGTCACATAACAAGTTAAGGGCAATGCTAATACTCAGGAGTCCTCACACATCAAACTTTCTGCTCCAGCCATTAGACCTCCCTGACTCACGCAGAAGTACCCCATCAGTTTGATCTTCTCCCCTTCTACTCAGAAGTAAAGGGGCAAAGCCAAATAAGTAACCAAACTGCTGTTTTCTCTCAGCCTTAGGTTAAAGCCTACTATTACTTCACCAACACATCTAAAATCTTCCTAAATGTGGCAATGTATGTATGCTACTAGCACATTGCTCATTTGCATCATCTTTAACTTAAATGATGAATTTTGGTTTCATAGTGCAGCAAGATATAATTGGTAAAAGCAAGCATTCAGTCATAGTTAAAATTTAAAACAAGCTTTTATACTGCACCATGCTAATGAAGTGTACTTCCTTGCTAACATTTTGCATTTTTTTATTGCGATTTTTGGTAACTGCCCCGCTGCTGTTATGAAAATGCTCTTACATGTTCTCTTATTGCCTGGCACAGTGGACTTAAAGTGAGGCTTCTCTTTTTTCCTGAGAAAACTTGCTAAACTTACTTTACTTCACACATCTTTGGCACTGATACTTAAGACACTGAATATAACTTGGAGAAAGTCTCTGCATCTCTTCTTCAATTGAGTGACTAAACCTTATATCTACTGCCTCTAAATACCAAGACATCTCCAACTCTGCCTCTTGACATAGGATGCCATCTAGGTTTCTTAGATAAATACTTATCCTTTACCAGTAGGCTAAAACACACAATTATTCCCCAGGTTACCAATTCAGGCTCAACTGGTAGAGCCTGTAGAGGGTCTTGCCATCTTCCTTGGATCTGTCAAACATATTTTAACAACCTTGCATGGGCCACCCCCTGTCCCTCTGCCTTATCTGTTGCAGGTTAGGGTGTTTTGTTTTGTGGTTGCATCAGGGTTGACTTTAGTTAACTAATAACTTAGAAAATGGCTTTGTATAGGATGGTTTAGAACAGAATGATTCTGCCTGTGGTGGAGGGTTGGACTAGACGATTTGCAGAGGTCCCTTCCAGCCCTACTTTTCTATGATTCTGGTTACATGCATGGTAAGTGTTTCTCAGAAAATTTTTTCCCATTTCAGAGATTGTTTTGTCTTCAAATGGTGAAACAAGACCTGGTAAATCTTTTTTTTTCACCTCTGTACAATTAAAAAAGAAACAGAAGCAGCTTCTCATATATTTTAAGACACAAAAAGGATCATTATGAGGCTCTAGTCTAACCTCCTACATAAATATGGAATTCCAGCAAGTGGCTCCTGCCCATAACTTATGACTGAACTAGTACCTATTTTCTAGAAACCCATCTGGTGCACACAACTCATCTGGTGGTTATCTGCTAAGGAATAAGAGATGGGTCTTTACTGTGGAACAGCTAAGGGGTGGTAACTGCCCACGTACAGGCTCCTACACTGCAGCAGATGAAGGCTTAAAGGCTGTGTTACCACCGTTTTCTAGGTTTGTGAAATCCATTCTAGGGGACAAGTGGCAATGAAGGGCCTCAACACACTTACAAGATTTAGATGTCATCTCCCACAGGCAATTACCAGGGAGCAACTGATACACAGCAGAGCCCCAGCCCTTTTACTTCATGGAGACTAGTTCTTATTCAATATATACAAATATCAAGAGAAATATTCTTCTCTCACCACTACACTGGTCATTAAAATTCAGCATTCTGTTAGGAGAATGCAATAAACACACACACACACACGCACGCACGCACGCACACGCTCACTCTCTCTCTCTCTCTCATTTTCAATAAGCCCTACAAAATGCAGTGTTGAAATTTTAACCTAGGTAGCAAAGCAAGTTATTTAAATCAGATGCAACAATTCTCCAGTAAGGCTGTATATATTAAAGTACTAAGTGATGTTATCTGCAAATTCTTTTACAACCGGCTCTGCTTATCTACCTACCTAAGCTACCAGCTGCTAGTGCAGATTGCAGCGCGGCAGCCAGACTTGGAACCATCTGCTTGTAGTACACGGTATCGGAACAAACAGATGCTGTTGCACCCACAGATCCTGGCCAGCTTCGGACTGGTCTGGGAAACCCGATCAAAAATATTGGAAGAGTGAAGAGAGGCAGCAAGGGGGAAGACAGCACCGCAGAAACAGCAATGAAGACCAATACAACAGGGAAGAAAACAACGTTGAGTGTAATTAATGTGGTGGAGGATTTACGACGTTGCTTTTTTTCGGTCCACGATGTCAAGAGAACAGTTAATGCAAACTGCAACTTTGAGATAAACTGAAGTAGTCGATCCCGAACAACACCAACCTGTCGACAGCAAAAATATTTTTCTATTATACATCTCGGCACATTCAGCATTGCTAGGTATCTTTCAGCCTTACACAGAAGAATTCTATGGGCTTAGTGAAACTGTCATTTACTGTTGTAGTAAGAGCAGTTCTGTGTATGCAGAACATGTCTCCATTCCCAAAAGTCCAAAGCCCCAATTTTAGAAAAAGCAGAAAAGAACAGACTAGGAAACAATAAAATAATACAACAAGAACTACCTGCTTAGTTAAAAAAGAACGTTTACCAGTAAGAGTCTGATTCCTGTATCCAAGCTCCTGTTCCACCATACATCTGTATTAACCACCATCATTTGTACTACTGACACCACCGCTATGTCCAGCATGGCATTCTCTGTATTTTGCCAGACCTAGGACAGAGACTGATTATTTGTGGTACCAGGAATCCACCCTTTCTCCCGCTTCTTGACCTGGAGTATATTTAAGTTGTAAGTCTTTATTACTTTAGGGAAAAAATATCTTCTACATAGTACATATTAAAAACATGTCAAATTACCATTCTAAAGATTCTTGTGAATCCAATGCAAACAGACACAGAATGAAGATTTTGTAGGGAACAGTCTAGTGAAATAAATGCTATCATAACAAATGGAGACACTGCAATGAAAAAGAGAGACGTCAATAATTTTCTTTGTAAAATTCCTACAAAAGCCTACAGTTTTATAAAGGGTACATTGCAGAATGGAAATCTTAGCTTGTCCCAATCAAGCCATTAGTAATAGTCACAAAGTCTTTTCCCACCCTGCTCCTGAAACATTAAAATAAGATGGCATATTCTTATCCAGGGCCAAACCCTGCAAACTGAGTATTCCAATTAACTTCAGAAAAGGATCATGAATTAAGTTAAGTATAAGCATGAATACTTAAGATAAATGATGTGAAAAGTGCTTCTGGATCATGTCTCCAAAACTGTTACATCTACAAAAACAAGCTCAATTTGGACTAAATACCATCTCCTCTGAAGCAAGTGGAAAATCCATCATGTACTTCAGTAAAAGCAAGGCTGGACCTTGTATTAAAAGACTGCAAGGAACAAACATTTTAATTGCTGTCAATTCTCTCAATTCAATTTTGTTTTGGTACTGTTTTATCAAAAATGAGAGCAAAGGTTTTCAAAAAGTGACCAGCAATTTTCAGTTGCCAAGCTTAAGACCCTCTAGGAAGTCCTACTGTTAGAAAGTACCGAGCACTCACATTCTAAAGACCCTTTTAAGGTGCCTTGTGCTGAGCACCCAAAAAACCACAAACACACAACATGCCACTGGTCATTTCCAAAAACCTTGGCGTGTTACTTATAAATTCTGAATGCACAACTGCACAAAAATCTTAATGCAAATTTTCAGCCACTTAATTCTTCTTAGAAAGTGTATTTTAACTCGCACACAGAGAAAATGTTACTACCATGTTAATCTCCCCTAATTATCTTGCAAAAAGCAGATAGTGGAATTCCTACCTAGTGTTAGTAAAATCCTCCTGACACCACCAACTTTCATAAGCCTTCTTTGCTTCTCCATGAACACAGTCACAGTCCTGATATCCTTTGGATAAAAGGGATTTCGGAAGACTCCAAACAAGTATACTCTCTGAATCTCTCTAAGAATCCACATAATTAGGAGTAATATGATCAGAAAGTAACTCACTATAGCTTGGGGACTGTCTTTGGAAAATGCTGTAAAACCAGCAAAGTGATGCAGCAGGCTAGCTTCTGCGAGAGCAAATGTCAACACAGTCAAATAGAAAATGAATTCCCTTCGCCCAAACTGTATCCTAGGGCCACTGGATAGAGTCTGAGATTTGCTGGAAGCTAAATGGCTGCTTATAGTGTGCTTGAAGGAAAAAACAATCTCACTTGGGTTAAGACTCAGTATGAACCCAAATCCAGTCATGAAGAGGACCACACCAAGAGTGCTGGGAATGAAATACGATGCTATAGCTGTTCCAGCAGAAATGAGAAACATTACTAATAACCTGTGAAGGAGAAGAAAAAAAGATTTGCTTGAAAAGGGTTAGAGACTATACTGTTATATTTATTGTTATAGAAATAAAATTTACTTTGTGTTACTCGACATGGGTGAACCTCCTAAGACAAACTCCAACACTTGTTCCATTCCCCACAGAAAAAGTACATCAAGCAGAGGCAGAATTCCCAATGCCCATAAGAATGGCAGAAACAGAAATAAGATGTGCAAGATCTGGTTTGTCTGCTTTAGGACGGGTATGTTACCAGCAAACCTGGATGAAAGAAAAAAACATATCTGACTTCTATGAAAGGAAATATGAACAGATACTATATGTATAGAGGCAAGTTTAAAATTTATGCACCCATATTCAAATGCCAGAATCTTCAGACTTTTGTTGATAAGCTAGATATTTAAAATTAATGCTTGGGATATTATCACACTATAAGCATCAGAACATATATGATTTTTCTATGCCAAAGATACAGAACTCCCAGAATACTGACAGTCCAAAATAAAGAATGCTTCAAAATTAGGAAATTTTATACTGAACTGGCAAGCACAAAACAAGGAGCCAAAGATTTTACTAAAGTCTTGTTTAAATGTAAAATGTAAAGACATTATTTTAAACCAATATAAGTTAAATCACTGCAACATTTTTCTTATATGCAAAGCCTTTTAAATTAATTTAAATGAGTAACTAAATTCTCTTTAGTCAACATCTGAATTCACTTTTAAGTCACAATGTCTTTTTGTACAGAAAAACTATAAAACCCTTTTGTAAATATACAAATGTACAAAAAACTTATAGATAAAAAGCTGATATTAAGAAGTCCGCATAACTTAACTAATATACTAAGAAGCCCGTGGTAATTATCTTAAAAATCACATGCTAAAAGATTTTTAAAATATTTGGTTTGTTCCCTTTTTGCTATGAAAACAGGCCTGGAAGTTCTGGCTTACAAATATCAGGAATCTCAGAAATCTAATCTTCCTTCATTTGGATGGAAAACCTGTTTAGGGTCTAGAAAGTATGTACTGTGAATGGTATGTACTGTGAATGTTATTACTTTAACTGAAGGAACAATGTGGTCTGAATCTCAAAGAAAAAATAACTGAGTGCAAAACTAGAAGAATAGTAGAATTAACTTCTCTGTTTTTAATACATGCAATTTACTTAAAGAATGAGACGTAGCCTGCCAAATTGATATAACCGACTCCTAACAAGGAGTACATGAAAAGGAACTAAAAAGTACATTTTTACCCTAAGCCACTTTGCAAATACCTTGGCTGAGAGAGAGATCTGAAGAGGGGAATATAAATTTATGTTCTATTTTCTAATCTAGACCACTACAAAAGCATTTAGCAATCCAAGGCTAAATTTCATATGGATCATAACTCATGAGTTTCAGAGTTTCCAACTTCTGGACCTACTGCAATTTATGCAAAGTCTCTTCTATGCGGCTTCATTTTGGTTTTGTTCAACCCTTTTACATGGGTTAAATTAAAGAAGTGCTGAAGTACAATATTTGTATCCAGATCAAAACTTTCTGGAATGTGCAGTATTTAGACCTGTATTTTCATGGCAGGTTCATTTCTTTTCTCATTTAAAAGTAGCAAATTTGATATATATTTAGAAAAAATAAAATGAAGACATTTAAAATCCATAATATATTGCTTGATAATAGATCCCTAAAAGAATGGGGATGCAAATACTTAAGGCTACTTTACTGGGTTTGTGATTGCAGATGACAATTTTAACTACGCAAGACAAAACTTTTGAATCTCTTAACTTCTCTTGAAAGGCTACACAATTCCAAAATTTCTGCACGCAAAGTAAAAACACGAGTTTCAACTGTAAGCATGCCAGGCTTTTTCCAGTTGGATAACATCTCTACAACTTTTTCAAGAGTTATTTCACAGCATCCACCAAGGTATCTGCATATGTTACTCAACATTAAATTACATAAACATTAACTTAGGTTTACCTGTATGCAAGATCCACTGCAATAAAGACAAAAATATAGAAAGGTCTCATCAAAGCAGTAATTTCATAAGTATCCAGTGCTTGGAAAGCAGCTGTCTCTGTAGCCGTATTTATGATTAATGAATATTCTCCTATACATATAGTCACCCATCCAAACACAAAGATCATAACAGTTCCTCCAACGTTATCATACAGCAAAGTTATTCTGTTTGGTAGCAAATACCAAGTGCCCAAACCACACATGACCCCAGCAACAAAGGAATGAAAAACAGTGTTCACTATATACTTCTTGCCTGGAATAATAAATTTTACTGTCTCTGAACCTAAACAGCTAGAAAATTCATACTCGTCTTCATCTGTTAGGGTATTTGGAACCTGCATTCTTTCTACCGTCACCGTTCTCTGTCTTGCATGCAGATTTGTCAACTGGAGAATAAGTGCTGTAACAAGCATCAGTCCTCCTGAAAGTGCTGCAGTGTAATAGTCTTTCATAATATCTAACTGGTACAAAAGTGTTCCTACTCCTCCCAAAACCCATGGTGTTAGGAAAAGAACAATCTGATTCACATATATGTAAGGAGGGGCACAATAGCCTAATTTAAATCGGGGACCTCCCAGGACAGTCTGTGGAAAGCGCTTCAAGAAGAACTCCTGCTTGTAATCATTTAGTAGTGGTACATCTGGACCCATTCTTATTATTCAGGAATCTTGGACGTGTTTCATTTTTCCTGTAGTGAAACAACGAAAGGAAAAAGAAAAAGAAGAAACCGATGTCACTAAATGCAACTCAAAACTTCACCATAAGATACAATTGCTTTGCCCTCTTTTTATAGAGCCACAGAGTTCCACCAGGTTTTGCTAAACTGCATGACTATTAGCAAACTTTAAAATGGGAATACATTATTGTATAGTTTGTAATATATTTCTAAATAAAAAATATACTAATTTGCCCAACCAAGGGACAACAGGCAGCACTTCTTAAACTAAGGACTGTAGTAGAAAACAGGACTGAGAGCAAAAGAGCCTAGTAGCACTCACTTTTTAAAAAACATATCTGGGGATAAAACTAGAATTCAATGAAAGAAGGATTTTAATCCTAATTGCCTTCTACCAGACATGTACTGGCAGCCTTATATTTGATTATCGCTACAGGTGTCGCAAGAAAAGAATGCATTAATGCAATGGATTTGCCAAACCTCTGTGTCCTCCTACTAGAATATTTAATACTTAAGTGCTTGAGTGAACAAGATACAGCTTATATTCATGGAGGGAATAATCACATGGTCTGCAAGTACGTACTGGGACACAGCATTCCATTAGAAACAATGGAGATGAGACTTATGCAGAATTTTTGCATCCATGTGACTGGCCAATAGTAGGCATTTTCTCTAACTGATATTTGCTTTCACGTTCCTTTAAACTAATGCACAATGCTCTGTGATAAAATGTAAAGTTGTAATATACTGTCCTTATAATAAAGAGCTGTCACGATAGAAGAAAGAAATATAATTTTCCATAACTACTGTGACACCTGCATTTCTTGTAACCAAGGTGAAAAAAGCAATTAAATGTAATGTGGAAACACTACCAACATACACATATTGGAGAGGGCTGTTCATTCCAATAAGGTCTACAGTTTGTAATTGTAATATAGATACACATCCTAGTAAAATTTTCTAACAGCATATTTAAAAAAAAAATCTGTTTGCATGCAAGACACTAGAATCATGTAAATAAAAAGGAATAGCATTTTTAAGTACTGCATATGCAGTGATGCCAGATTTTAAAAAAAAACATACCCAAAAACTTTGATGTGCAAAAACTGCACTCAAGTGCATATAAAGAACCTGGCTTTAAAAGAAACAAATCAGGGGTGAAACTCAAAGAAAAAATGCTGGCAGCTGTATTTTTGCTGGGTTTTTTTATTGTTTGCTTAGCTTTAGTCTGTATTCTCTTTTCTAAATTTAAATTTTCTCAAACACACACATAATGTTAATCAATAAAACATATTTAGACTACAAGTCCTGTGTAAACAACAGGCATATTTGAGTGAAACCCAAAATACGATTCTTCTACTTGGGTGCAATCCAAAGCAACAGAAGATATTATAAAGGCACCATAAAGCCATAAAAATATTTACATAAGAAATGTGAGACTTAAAATAACACATATGGGAACCAAGTAATCTTAAACATTTTTATCTGACCTCAAAATGGATATGTTAGGTCCGGACCCTCAAAAAAAGGTTGAGCATGTCCTAGCAACGGCACTACACAGAACACAGCTTTCCTGCATGACTGGGCAGTTTCAGACTGGGATCTTGCCTGGTTACCAGGCTGGGCTGGATGGTAACAGTTTGTTATTGCCAGACAAGGTTTACATACATCTATGCATCTTAGATACTATGACAACAGGGGTAATGTACATTTCTTAACCTCACAAAGTCTTTCAGTACAATTATACTTGTGAAATAGGAAAGGAAAAATACTATCCCTGTTTTACAGATGGGGAACTGAGGCACAATGAGACTTTACCTAAGGTCACAGAGAAAAGCCACAGCAGGGCAGAAATCTTGGTCTCTCAAATTCTGCTCTAGTGCCCTAACTATGAAACCATCCTTGTTCTCTACAGATAGGAGACTGCTAACTATAACTTGAAGTTCCTGGAGTTGCTGATGGGATGACTTTTGAAGGAAACCCCTAATTTTGATACAGGCAGTCCTCAGACTTACGACACAATTGGTTCCTGCAAACTGCATCTTAAGTCCAAACGTAACTTGGAACCAATTTTCTCAAAAGAAACAATGTTATAAATGGGGGATTGGTTCCTGAACCAAGGCCGAATACCCTACTTTCACCAAAATTACTCCAGAATTTTGTACTTGATCAATTATAGATGAGTAATATAGCTACATTAATGTATTTATATTGTAAATAGCAATCTTGTTGATTTGGAAGGATCCTTTGAGGTGACTTTGCTGGACTTTTTGAAGGGCTCTTGGCTGGAGTCTTCTCAGGAGTCTTGGCTGCAGGTTTTTCTGGAGTCTTGTCTGCTTTCTTAAAGAAAGCGTCCAAGAAAGTTTGGACAGATGTTCTCCAGGGAGATGAGCAACGCAGCGAACTAGCTCGCTGGCATGGCATCACATCCAATCAAGCGCTGTAAAGTCAAAACTGATGTCATAATGTTGAAATTTATAAACATTTAAGTACGAAATGCTATAAGTCGAGGACTGCCTGTATTTCAGAGCACAGTATGGAATGCAAACTGTATACTTCTCATCTACTGAAATTATGATGCCATAACATATGGCAGTGGTCTCCAAACTGCTTTGATTGCGCACCCCTATCAGTAGAAAATTTTTGAGCATGCACCCCCAATATACGCATATTTATTTCTTTGACATACGGACCGAGTGAGGGCGCCAGTGTCAATCCGTATATTAAATATTAGTAAAGCTTAATTTCTTTCTTATTATTTTAGATAAAAAATAAATATAAATAGAAGTTCTAATATTTTCTTCCCGCACCCCAATGGATCATCTTGCATACCCCACTTTGGAAACCACTGACATATGGGATTGTGAGTTATCACCATAATAAATTAACATAGTAATTAACCATCTGCTAATACAAGCAGAACCAGAAAAATACAGGCCTCAAATTTCCAATGAAAACCATGTAGGTGTCTTGCTGCTTAAGCAAGTGCAGCAGACATCATCACGTTAATACACCTGGCAGTGTGTTTGTACATAATTAGCTTCACAAAACACTACAGCAATCTGTTCCAATCAGCAAGCAAAGCATTATTAGCTTTTCCTTCATGGATTAAGACTGTTACATCAAACACCAGTTTTCAATCTACGGACCACACAGACTTTTGCACTCCAGGGCAGCAACGCAGAGGACAAAACCCAGGATGAACTAGGCAAAAGCTGAGGGATAAAGCCGTCGTGGTTGCTGTGATGCAAACAGGAAGAGGCCTTCCAGAAGAGATTAGACAAACGGCACGTCTCAGCTTTAGGAAATGTTGCAAAACCTGTGCTTAAACCTTTCCACTGTAATGCTATACCTGTCACTCCTGCCCTTGACTAAAAGGCATCAAGAGGATTAACAAAATGACAGAAAAAAAATGTGCCTCTCCCCTCCAGCCAGAATTGTTACCTCAGAAAGAAGGAAGAGGCATAGACTCTACTAAGCCCATAGGGATCATAACTATTGCTCTCAAAGCTTCACGATCATGGAAGTCAGTCAAGTCCAGCTCTACAAGGTGGTAACACCAGGCATGGCAGGGGTGGTTAAGACCAAACACCAGCTGCTCTCATTGACGCATCTATTGAAGCCTATGGGAGACCAGTGTTGCAGCACCGGTGACTGCACAGACCTACCTCTGCAGAAGGAAAACAGAGACAACCTACAGACCAGTCGGTCTCAGCCTGGCTGGGCTCAAATCCCCTCGCTGCAACGGGGCCCCCTCCATCCCATCACACATGTGAACTGACTGAAGTCCCATTTCAAAGCTAGTCTCTGTAATACAGCGAGGCCAAAGTCCTTATTCCTGGTTCCCTATTCCCAGTTCCAGCTATGCTACAGCGCTTCCTTCATTGCAGAGGGGCCAGGCATGGAGAGCCTGCACCTTCCTTATCTGCTCATCTCATCACCTCTTGGATAAGATCCAGGGCACCCGGGGGTACCTGAACACCAGGATTTCTGAGCCTGGGATTTGCCTGTAGGATGCCAGCCTGGATACCGAGTCAGGGACCAGCTGAACTCCCAGGCCTACAGGTTTCAATGATACTATGATAATAAAATCATAGATACTATGATAATAAATAAATAATAAATAAAATCATAGATACTATGATAATAAAAATGATGCACATTTCTTAGGCCCTTGCAACACATGACATATCTACTGCAGTTCACAGGCGAATCGCACAATAAATGTACACCAGTCACACATGCCAAGCAATGATCACGCGATTAATGGGCGAAACACGCAATAAACATAGAGCAGCCACCCGTGCCAAGCAATCATCATGCGCTTAATGGGCAGATCGCGCAATAAATGTAGAGTGGCCACATGTACCAAGCAATGAACATGGACTTAACGGGCAAACTGCGCAATAGATGTAGATCGGCCATATGCGCCAAGCAAATATCATGTACTTCACGGGCAAACTGCGCAATAAATGTAGATCGGCCACATGCGCCAAGCAATGATAATGCGCTTAATGAGTGAATCGCACAATAAATGTAGACCGACCACATACACCAAGCAAATATCATGTACTTAAAGGGTGAATCGTGCAATAAACGTAGACAGGCCACACACGCCAAGCAACAATCATGCACTTAACATTTATTGCACGATTCGCCCATGAAGCGCGCGATTGTTGTTTGGCGCACGGGGCCGCTCGACACGGGTCACACGATTCGCCTGTCGAGCAGCCCCACGCGCCAAGCAACGGACACACGCTTCACGGGCAAACCGCGCCATAAACGTAGACCGGCCACGTGTGCCACGCGACGACCCCCTTGAGCAGGACGTGCTGCCGACTCCGCCCGGGTCCCTTCACGGCGCCGAGTCCTTCCGCGTTGACACTCGTCACGTTTACCTCCAGGGAAGGGGCCAGAGCCCGCCGAGGGGGGCGGCGTCGCGGACGGTGGAGGGGTGGGGTTCCCTCAAGCCCCTTCCGCGCGGGCGGCGGAGCCCCTCCGGGAGGTGCGGCGCTGCGGGCCCCAGGGCCGGGAGGGCGGCGCTACCCCCATTTTACACACGGGGCAACTGAGGCCGGTTCGCGCCGAGGCCCGACAACGACCTACCAGGGGCGCGACCCACCCTCCCCCGCCGCCATCTTGCCCCCCGGCGGGCGCGGTGAGGCGGGGAGCTGCATGGTGGACCCGCCTCCCTGTGGGCGGCGCCTCGCACAAGATGGCGGCTGCTCTATCAGGAGCGGGCGCGGCTTTTGCGTCCACTCTTCTCGTTTCCCCTTGCGGGGGCACGGCCTCCACCCACCCGAGGCCCCGCGCGTGTGAGAGGGTCCACAAGCAGCCCCGACCCGCCGGCGACGGGGCCACACGCGGAGAAATTTTCCGAGGGCTTTGAGTTGGTGGAAGAAACAATACCGAGTTTACCCCCGTGTCCCTAGGGCGAGCGCGTCGCCATTAGCGCTTCGTAACCCTTTCCTCACGGCTCCCCTCGAGCGTCGCTGCCGAGCGGACGGGCTCCTGCGCGGGCAGGGGTCTGCCGAGGGCCCATCCCGCCCCAACAACTAGGAATCAGTGGAAGTGAGCCGGCCTCTCGCAGGGAAGCTCCTCCAGACCCGGGGTGGCCGTCCGGGAACCTCGAGAATAGGGGGTGCGTGACCCCAGTGCTGTCGGAAGGACTGGTGCCCCCCCTGACGGGGTCCGTGGGTACTGCGGGTGTCCCCCCCCCCAGATTCAGGAGGTACCAGTCACTGGCGGGGGTAGTGCCACTGTCCCCACTGCCATGAACGTCGCAGGGTGGGGGACAGCGAGATCCCGTGGGTGGCAGTGGCTGGGGCGTGGGAGCAGGGAGCGGGGAGGCCCCACAGGTGGCAGTGGGCCGAGCAGGGAGCTCCTGCAGGCGGCAGTGGTGGTGCCTGCAGTGGGGCAGGGCGATGCCGAGCAGGGAAAAATAGAGGACGTAAAGGTGTCTGCTTTCATATCGATAGAGGACCAGAAAACCAAACTGTCCATAAAACAGGACGAATGACCACCCTCTCCACACTGATCATCCTGGTTGCCCTTTGCTAGTTCTTCCATCTCCTTTTTGAGAGCTGGGCTCCAGGTTTAAGGTGTGGATGCACCATGGATTTATAAGGAGGCATGTTGTGATACTTCCCTTTGGGTTTATAATTCCCTTAGTAATCCGGTGCCTCGCACCGGGCAGGGTCTGCTGGCTCGTTGGACTCATTCAAGGGGAAGTCAGCACTGGCAGGTGTGCTCTGCTTGGTGTCCCTCTCTGGAGCACTTGCTATCAACCTCACACTTGTCCCTGTTATTAAGTTGTCCCAAGCAATCAGGGTGCACATCTGATAGCCCCTCTAACAACAGAGTGGAGCCATTGCTGTTCCTGTGCGGGCACGTGCCCATGATCCTTCTATGTACTGAATAGGCCTGTGTCTCGGAGGCAGCCAGCAAATGCCAAAAGGTAGTGACTGGTCATAGCCAGGGTTTTCTCCCTGTTCTTCTCGTTGGCAGCTGCCAGCATTTAGGGCTTAGGAAGCTCTGACTCAGAGGATAAACCCCTAACTCCCATGCTCAATAGCTACTGATGCACCTTTTCTCCAAGAATGTCAGATCCCTTTTTAAACCTGGGTTCCACAACATCTGGTGGCCACGAGTTTCACATTTGAATGACATGTTGTATGAAAAAGGAACTTCCTTTTGTTCATTTTCAACTTACGACCTACTGATTTCATTGTATGTCTCCTAGTTCTTGTGTTCTTAAGGGTGTGACTTAGGGCAGTCAGGGACTGGGACCTTGCAGTGCCAGGCACAAAGCACAGCACCAGCCCCACAGAGCATACAGTGAGATCAGTGGTGGGTGCAGACCTGTGATTCTCAAGCAGGGGGTTGTGGCAAGATCCTTTCATTGCCAAGTGTGAAAACATGATTCACAAGATATATCAGAGAGCTGCTTGAGTCCAAAAAGGTTGGGAACCACTGGTATAGACACACACTCAGTGGTTGTTCCCAAAATACTTAAAAACAGGTTAGATCAGTGGTTCTCAGCTGGGGAGAGGGCACAAAAACTAGCCAGGGGTGCTGCAATGCTGGCATCGCCACAGCAGAGAAGCTGCCCCATGCATCTCAGATTTCAGGAGGCACATGGAAGCCAAGTTGGATCCTGTGCTGAGGTTCACATCTGCAGGGGTTTCCAAACGTGGTATGCAAGACATCTCTG